GATCATTAATAAAGATATTAAACAAAACCGGCCCCAGGACCGACCCTTGGGGCACTCCCTTTGCCCTTGATTCTGTGATTAATGGGTTCAACTCACCACCATGTTATTCCAGTTGTAAACTGGTGTAACTCTATTGATTTTTAGGAGGTGGTGAAGGGATTGTTCCTTAGGGAGGCACAACGTTTCCTTGTGTGATTCAATGCACAGGCTGAACCATGCGTTAGCACCTGCTCCCCCGGTGAAGTGCAGCTCAGAGGAGTAGGGCCAGGGGCCTGCTGCCTCCCTGTCTCCATTTGGGTGGGACTGTGTGCCATTGGAGGAGCATTGACCGACCACTTCCTGCAATCACTTGAACTCTCTGGACTATGATAATCCCTTGTGTCAATTACAAGGAGTGAAGCTCCTTGCATACTCTCTCTTGAGTGCCCTCACTATCACAGTCTAGACCTGTGTGAAGAGACGTTGATCAATAGTTCCTGTATTTCCAGAAGCATTAACTCAAAATATCTACTAGGGTCAGTTTTGTTACCAGTTTCTGTCTCCCTATGAGGGTATTGTGACATTCTGTATCTTGGGGGAGCACCCTGGAACCCCCATATTCTTCATTTTATATAATTGTGATCTTACATATAAAGCATGCCTTGTAAGGTATCGGGGAAAGGTTATAATTTGCTGAAAGTCTTTTCTCTATCTATAAACGTATATCATTAACACATATGAAGTTATGAAGATTATCTTGTATGGTTGTCACTAAAACGTACTGTAAATTGGAATTTCAGCCAGATATTAGCTCCCCAGAGGCAACAGCAAGGAAAGTTAACCAACTCCTGGGCGGGGTGTGAAACAACCCATCAACAGCCATTGTCCAGCATGGGAGCTACAATTCAATGACTCACCTGCATGAGGCCACACCAGGGGAATTGCTAAATCTTGCCTGGACACTCAGTAATGCCCACCCATACATTCCTGGACTTGTGTTTTCCAAGCACATGGACTGAGGGTATAAAACAGACACAGTGGCTACATCAGGGGTAGGCAACCTCTGGCTTGGTCACTGAATGTCATTGCCACGGAGGGAACAGAATTGCAGGGTCAGACCTGCTGAGGTAAATCGTGGCTGATACATGATTTTCAGTGGCACTCACACTGCCTGGGTCCTGGCCACTGGTCCAGGGGGCTCTGCATTTTAATTTAATTTTAAATGAAGCTTCTTAAAGATTTTAAAAAAAACCTTATTTACTTTACATACAACAATAGTTTAGTTATATATTATAGACTTATAGAAAGAGACCTTCTAAAAATGTTAAAATGTATTACTGGCACGTGAAACCTTAAATTAGAGTGAATAAATGAAGACTTGGCACACCACTTCTGAAAGGTTGCCAACCCCTGGCTACATGCTTGGTCTTTTTTCCTACACCCAGCCAAGCTGCAAGCAACAAGGACACGGTGAAGACTCCAACTGAGGGGACTGGCCAGATTTCAAGGACTTCAATATCGAATGGGGTGAGAAAAACTGCATAGTTTAGTTGTTGCCCAGTCTAATAGGGTTGAGAGTTTAGACTCTGTGCTTATATTTTATTTCTTTTGGTAATTAACTCTGACTTTGTGCCTATCACTTAAAATCTCTCTTTTGTAGTCAATAACTTTGTTTTACTGTTTATCTTTACCAGTGAGTTTGCCTGAAGTGTGTGGTAAATCTACTCAGGTTTTGCAAAGGCTGGTGTATGTCTATTTTCCATTGATGAAGTGGTGAACCAATTAATAAATTTGCACTGCCCATCTTGAGCAGTGCAAGATGGTATATTCCTGAGGTACAGTGCTGGGAGCTGGGAGGATTTGGCTGGTGCCTTTCCCTGTGTGATTCATGAGTGGTTCTGGGAGAATTCGTGCAAGCTAGCTGGGTGTGGGGCTCCACATGGTGCTGTGCTGAGTGATAACAGCACCTGGAGTGGTTTGCTGCTGGTCACTAGCAAGGCATTGTGAGAGACAGCCCAGGCTGGAGAGAGTTCAGGGGGCACAGCAGCCCCACAGCCCCAGGCTGCACCCCGGGGATCCTGTCACAGGTATCATCAGTGTGCCCCTATTAGTCCAGGTCAGTCTCGAGCAATGAGAGGACTTGTACTACTACTGAGCTATTGTAGTGCTTGTGCCATGGACACAGATTAGGCAAAGCGAGAAGCAAAGCTGAAAAGGATCAGTGGGGCTGTAGCAGCAGTGGAGGTAAAATGACCTGACTGAAGTTGATGACTACTCTTTTTGGTTTTTTTGTAGAAGGCATGGCAGAGCTGAGCCTTAGGCACTGCTGGTTTAATAATAGCAATGGGCATTGCATTGCCTTTTGCTATTAGTTCTGGCTTATGTCTTGTCAATTTTTTTTCATTGGCAGTTTCTCTGCTCAAGTGAGGGCAAGGAGTGGAATAATTAGGGTGATGTAGGTCATGATTGAGCTGCCTTGGCAGAACTGTGTAGTGAAGCTTGAACAGCATCCACTTATACTATAACTGGCTCAGATAAATGCTATTTATCCCTCCAGTCAATAAGAACTATATTCATGCACAATATAAAAATAAGCACGTTATTTTTCCGACAGTTTTTTTAAATGGTTATGTTGCTAATTATATAGCACCAGGATCTGAACATGACAGTGACTCACAAGGCAAACTACCTGGTTGTCCAGGAATTTGCCAATCCTCTCTACCATTATGGATACCCACTCTCCATCTAAGAAGGTAGAGTTTTTGAAGCTCTGTTCTAGCTTGTAAAAGCTTCTCAGGACATTGTCTAGTTTTCCAAGTGATTTTTCCAAACAAATGTAATAGGGCATACTTTCATGCGGAGCATACAAATTTTGAATGCTCACAAATTGCATGTGCATATTTGGTTACTCAGTGTGCTGTTACCCAATTGGTCATGTGGGTTTCTGTACACAAATGGAAGGCCACTTGGAAATACAGCCCAAACCTATAGAATGTCAAATGAGGCCTAGAGACAAGAAAGTGAGTAGCTGTAATGTAATTTTTTTTCTTGCAAGATCTCCTGGGACTTATGGGTCAGCTAAATTCTTCTGCTGATAATTCTGCATGTGCTTGAATTTTTTTTCTACAGAACCTTAGTGGAAAAAAATTTAAAATATTTTTTGGGAGCGGGAGGAAGAAGAGGGCTTCAGACCTGGTACATAAACAGCATCTGCTGTGAAGTGCCAGCTGTCAATTGTTTTCTTGCTTATTTGGATTATTACATTACAGATGGCTCGGCGAGTAGCAGGACTCCATCTTCTTTCTCTGGTTTTAGTTTTAGTATGTAAATTTGTTGTCAATTTCTTCACACATTTTGCAGGTTGCCAGAATGTGTAGGTCTCTTACCCTTTTTTAAAATCCCACCTCACTGTAGGACACGTTTCCATCCCCATCTGTAATCAGCTGTACTGCCTTGTGGGAAGTAAATTCAGGCACATGTGCTGGAACAAATCCAACACATTTTCACTGGTAGAGCCCCAGTAACCTGGGCTACATTAAGCAGCAGGTTGTGCACTATTAACTGATTCTACCAATTGCTGGGGTTCTCGGCTGTAGCTTGGTGACTTTAAAGAGACACACCATTATACAATCCTGACCTCCTGTTGGCTCTTGCCTATATTATTTTCTATTTCATTTTGCATTAAAATGTGCATTGATGTGTATAGAAAGATACACTAACTGATTTGCCTCTCCCAATTTATAGCTCTTCCTCCTAAACTGAGACATGCACAGGTGGGGGGGACATGACTGCCCCAATATTAATCTAAAATATGTATTTCTGCAGATCAAGTCACTGCCTTTTGTGCTTTCTATCACTGGTGCTCACAAACTGAAGTACATGTATTTCCTCAATAACATGCAGCTATGAGCACACGCAAACTCACTTAGGTCATACATGTACGCTCATAACATGAGGTTATAGATGAGCACGCACTTGGTTTGCACATATTCTCCCCATAATGTTAAGGATGTGTGCATATTCATGGTCGATTTCATGGTAGACATCAGTTGTAGTGCTAGAACGGGAAGAAAAACAAAAGAAAAAAATCATGACAATGGACATAAGAAAATTCTTTAAAAACATGTCACCAACATCTGAGGTTCAGCCGTCTGATTACAAGAGTCTGGACCATCCTCAACTTCCACTGAAGAAAACCAAGAGCTTCGCACACGTGTTTCAGTAGAAGGCAGTGCTTCAACTTGAAGCTTCAGCGAGAGAACCGAATGTGTAGCGACTGAAACGACATTAATTACAGGAGCTGAAGGCTTCTCTGAAAGTGAGTATTTGAGTAATTCTCATCATGGGTTGCCCTTTTCATATAACCAAATAGAACTCTTACGCATTGTAAAGCAAGGGCCACATCAACCAGTGCTGAATAGGTATCGCCAACAAATGTTTAGAAATAAAGTACAGTCATTTAATGCAGCATGGTATAAAATACCAGAAGCAGCCTTTTGGTTTGAATATTCCAAAAAAATGACAGACTGTTTTGTTTTGCATGTATAGTGTTGTCGTGCAATTTAACAAGCAAAAATGACCTAGCTCAGATATTGATATCATCTGGCTGCTACAACTGGAAAAAGCAACCTGAAAAAATTAAGGGGCATGCAAAAACTAGCCAGCACAGAATGGCAGTTGAACATATTGGTCATTTTAAATTTAAAAATTTGCATGTGGATTTGATGTTAAGTGAAGCAATGCAAGCACCACACCAAAAAGAAAAAATGAAAAATGAGAAAAACAGGGAGTATATTACATGTCTGCTAGATCTGTGTCGTACATTGGGGTAGGTTTACTTACCACTTCATGGACATGATGAATACACAACTTTGGAGAATTGGTAGCTTTTCCTAGAGATTGTTGATTATCTTAATCTTTGGGATTCCTTTATGCAAGAAAGAATGACTTGTGCAGAAAAATGCCATCTACTTATCAAATAGTTCTCAAAAGTGACATGATATATGCTTTAGCTACCGTTATACAGAATATAAGAAATGAATTAGCCACTGTGTGATACTAGATAAACTCTCGATTTTGCTTGTAGGGAACAAGTAGCAGTTGCATTTTGGTATGTAAGCGATAGTGACTGTGAAATTATTGAGAGGCTTGTAAATTTGCAAGATACAAGTACAACAGCTGCAGAACTTTTTCATATTTTAGAGAATACGCTTATTAAAATTATCCTGTCTTTTGACAAGGTAGGAGGACAGTACTATGATGGGGCAAAAAATGTAAGTGATCATGTATCATGTATCTGAACTCTTGTTCAGAAAAAAACCCACTAACTGCTGTTTACACATTGCTATGCATATTGTCTAAATTTAGTCATGTATGATACTATGGTATGTAATACCATTTCATAGAACTTTTTAGAACTTGTTCAGAACCTGTATATATTCATCCACAGTAGCAGACACTGCAGTACCATCTTTAAAAAAATACAGACGTGTCAGTGGTAATGAATATAGTGGTCGAGAGTGACATCTTCAGGCTCTTCACGAAGTGTGCTGGTATTCGCAGTGCCGAGCTTTGTAGGTCATAGATTAACAGTTTTCTCTTATTAGAGAAACTTTGGTCAATATTCAGCAGAACGCCACCAAAAGCAAATGTGTCAGCAGAAGGAAAGGGGCTTATGATACAGATGGATTTCAAATTCACAATCTGCCTCTTGGTATTTTTGAATGTGTTAAACTGTGTGCATTATGCTATCACTTTCTTGCAGTGGGAAAACATTGATTTTGCAGTAAATGCAACAGGAAGTTGTTTAAAAGTTTTGCACAGCATGAGAATGGATGAAAACTTCCATGTATACTTCATAAAATCTGAACATTGGGCTACTACTGAATTGGATCTGCAAATGCCAACTTACAGGAAAAGGCAACCGACAAAAACTCTGGATCATTTTTACAGGAGTTGCAGAGAATCCTACCTTTCTGAATCTTTAGAAAAGAAATATAAAGTCAATTTCGTTTCCTCTGCACTCGATGCTGCAATAAGAGAAATCAACAGAGGATTTAATCAGAAAAGTACAGTAATACTCAAAGCCGCTAAAAATACTCACAGCAAAAAACCTGAAAACTGTTAATATACCAAAAGGAAAAGAAACACTTGTGAAACTGAATGAAAAATTTCAGTGCAGAGTTCCTGAAATGTAGTACAATTTATTTGTATGCCATATTGAGCCTATTTCAAATGCTTGGGGATCGGACAGTGCAGTATCTTTTCTGGAACTCATGAAGGTCTGTAAGAACATGACATGGAACTTATGTATCCTGATGTATTGACCTATTGGTGCTTTTGGCAATGCTACGTGTTACAGTTGCAACTGCAGAAAGATGTTTTAGCACTAAAAAGCGTATCCTTAGTAGACTTCACAGCAGCCTGACAGAAGCTTGTTTTCATCAACTGTTATTTCTTGCAGTAGAGACTGACTTAACCAACAGTGTTAACATAGAAGAGGCTGTGGATACCTTTATTTAGATGGCTCCATTGCTCATGGATTTTTGTTGAAATGGTGAATGTACTGCTATTTCTATGCATATGATGAATGTGCGTTTTTTGATATGGTTTAATGTGTATAATATGTGCGTGTTTAACGTGCTCCTCCAAAAGAGGTCAAATTTAAATTCCTGCACATGCCCCTGCTCCTAGAGGTTGTTTATTATTTTGAGGGCAACTGCTATACCTGGATCTTTTGTGCTTTTACCTTGAAAACAAGGAAGTGGCAATAACAGATTGCCAGGAGATGAGGTCCATTCCTCTTTAATGAGAACCTCACAGCCCTAATCCATATGTTTATCACACCAAGACTGGATTACTCTAATTCCCTCTACCTAGGGATAACGATCAAGGTTACTCAGACTCCAACATGCGTAGCCGAGCCATAGGGTGGCAAGAGAATAGTGTAGTTCTGATTTTATTTTTCTGCTACTAGGCACGTTGTTGCATAGATATTTGGCAATTGGTCTCCTATAAATAGGATAGATAGATTATTATATAATTAGTATTGAACAACCAAAAATTAGTCTGAGCCAATCATGCCTTCAGCCTGCGCTTCACTGCACACTCTATGGTGTGTACCTTATAGTTGTTAATTCATTAGGAGAGATCCTGTTCTATGTTATTTCAAAAATACTTGCCATCATTTATTGGACTGTCACACAATCCAGCTCTTTTAAGACTTGATAGCTGTTATTCATCCTTTAAAGGAACGTTTTACTCATTCACCAATGTAAGTTTCATGAATGGCCATGGAATATATTTGACTGTTTCTAAGAGTTGGTATATTTTGAAAATATGCAGTATTACATTTTTTGTTTTCCACGTATCATTGGAAATATGTTGTCTATTTGCCAGCTGATGCTTCATTTCACAGTCAAGATTGCTTAAGATGAAAATTAGCCTAGCAGTTTTCAAATGTTGCTCTGGAGACCAGTACATTTGGCAACTTGAATCCTTGCTTCATTAGATACTGCAGAAACTGGAACTGGTGCAGTGAACAAAGGTGATTCCTCACTTGCTAAAACACCTTCTTTCACAGAAATAGCACATTGATAGTGCCCATATGGCAGTAAAAGGAAGCACTTTGTCAGTAAGTTCCATGAAATAATTAGATTTCTTTTGAGAGAGAGATTTTCAAGGTTTGTTTTCAACATCTGACTGGATGGTCAATAGTTGTGACTTCCCCCCCCCCAAGTTCAGCAAATCAACATCTGAAACAGGATTTTTCATTAGTTTTGTATATTATAATAAGCCATCTCCATTTACTGTACCGGTGAAAATGGTGTATGTAAGAACAGATTGGCATGTTGGTGGTTGGTTGTCAAAGCAATGGAATTAGTAAGTTGTCTTATTGAGTGGAAAACTAAAATTCTTTCCAGTAAAATTGATAAAATTAAAAGGAAAATAAGCAAATCTCATCCATTAGCTAAAGTTAATAAGAAAGTGAATCTGATTTTCAGAAGTGCTGAGCACTCACAACTTCAGTTGACATCCATGGCAGCTACAGGCACTCTGAAAATCTGGCTAAAACCTTTTAACATTACCATTAGAAGGTTTATAAGAGTTCCTTGGGCATCTGAAAGAGGGAGCTAAAGGCCAGACTGTGGAGCCTTTACTTACATGGCTGAGCATTTACTCACACAAGTGGTCTCATTGATGCTAATAGGTCAGCTTGTGTTTGCTCACTAATGTTAGATAGGGCTCCACTACTGGCCCAAACAAATCAAATCCTAGTTATAATGGATGGAAGAGCTGAAATTGCAGCCACTTGATGCCAATGTTATAAATGGGAAGCAGGTAACCATAAACTAATCAGAGAGAGTGTGAAAATTTGGGGTCAGTAGAGGGAATTGAACAATTTAAATGTAGAATCCAACCTAAATAAAATATATATAGATCTTGTGTGTGTGTGGTGGGGGTGGGGGGGGTGGGGGGGGGGGGGGGG